CAAGCTGCTGGCTGGGGGAGGCGGCCAGCGGGGGCGGCAGAGCCGCCAGGGCCACAGGGAGTGGAAGCGGCAGGGAGACGGAGTGCAGCGGCCCGCTGACGGAGGAGGTCTGGGAGGACACGGAGCTGTGCTGCTGCACCGTGGACGGGAACGGAAGCTGGCAGGGGCGGCTGCAAGGCAAGGGAGCCGCAGTCAGGGTGGGAGCCCTGACGCCACGGCCCCGCCAACCGCCCCGGGCACAGGTCACAGAGCACTTCCCCGCGAAGGCATGCGCTGTGCTACCCTGAATCGGCACCGTTCTGGCTGCCAGGGACACGGCAGACACGACAGTCCAAGCCCCGCTCTTAGAAGCTCACATTCCAGGGGCAAACACAGGGCAGCCACCTGACAACGAGCAGAGCCAGGTACCAAAAGGTAAACAATGCGGTCAGAGGGTAAAGAAGGGAGGTGACTCTAAAGGATGAAATGGGTGACAGGGGTCCGAGGAGTGGGCTGGGTGGACATGGATCCCAGGGTCAAGTGGTGATGAGGTTCAAGGAGCGAGGCGCTGAGACCCGGCTGGGGAGCGAATGGTCGCCTCCCGCCTGCTGGAAGGTCAGGGAAGGCGTTTCTGAGAGGTTGGAGCTCAGGTTTGAGGGACAGACAAGAAGGAGCCATGGTTTGAACGGAGAGGACGAAGAAGGGGTAAGGAGCACGTCTGGCAGGGCGTCAGCCAGCGCAAAGGGCCCAGGGCAGGACCGAGCACGAGCTTGAGCTGCTGGGAGAAAGCTCGCCTGCAGACAGCAGTGTGAGGCAAGACCAGGGGGGCGGGCAGGGCCCTCCACGAGCCACAGCCAGGCCCCCTGGGGTCCGCGCAGAGGCCGGGGGAGCTGCCTCTGCTCCCGTGGCAGACTCACAGCGCACCGTGGCAGGAACGGACGCAGGAGGCCGGGATTTGGTCTCCCTGAGAACTGAGGAGGGCCCGCAGGGCAGGAGCAGGGGACAGACCTTCAAGGGCTTGGGGATTAGTCCTGTGGACACCATGGGTGGGGAGAAGGAAGGGAGGGACGTAAAACATGATGCCTGGCTGTGGGCACCATACAGGACAGCGGGAACGCCCCCCGCCCCGGAGACGGAAGCCATGGGAGGCATGGCATGCTTTGTTCTGCTGGAGTGGGAGGTATGGAGCCCAGGAGCCTAACGTCAGCCACGTGAGAAAGAACACACAGAGGCATCCCTGGCAGCTGCTGGGCCGCAGTGGGACCGCGGGCTCCTGGTGTGGGCTCTCACTTTGAACAACGGGCTTCCGTCCCCGCCCTGCTCCTGCTCGCTCTGTCCCTGCTCTGGTGACCCTGCTTCCTAAGCCTGGGCTCAGACGACAGCGCTCACAGCTGACGAGAGCAAACGTGGTGGCGACGTCAGTCCTCCGACCACAGTGGCACTCTTCTGGGGAGACTTGGGAAGCAAGCTTTCCTTCTGAGACCCGCCTCCTGAGGTTAGGTCTCTGCCTGAGAACGGGAGGCTAGGTGCTAACAATTAGCACCAACGCGAACACAAAACAAAACAAAATCATCCGCCTTCCTTCCGTGCCAAGGGGCTGAGTCCTCTGGAAAGAAGCTGCTTCTAATCAGCAGCAGTGGCATATGTCGCCTTCACAGCTCGCTCAGCCCAAGCTCTCCGAGCTACCCCCGTTGTTCTGGGCGGTCATCGGGCCTTATAGCTTCCTTATAAGTAAATTCGCTGAAGTGTTTCTGGAGTCTGTCAGCTTCTAGATCTCTCCTTTCATAAGCGTTTCTCGTGGCCAGAATTCCTGGGAATGCCAACTCCTAGCAGCTAAATGCCTAACTCTAGAAGAACTTTGGACAAGGGTCACCTCAATGCTCCCTACATGGCTATGCAGCCCCTAGAATAAGCCCAGCAGATGCTAACAGAGTACTAACTTCAGGCCTGGCCTGGTCACCAACACCAAACACCCTCCCTGGGCCCGGGAGACACTTCCCAGAGGGCATTCCTTCCATCCAGGAGTCCTTCCAGCCCACGTGAAAGTAACCAGGAACTGAGCAAGGGGGAGCACTCCAGGGCTCATGGCAACTCCTGATTCTGCGAGTGAGCTTTGCCCTCCACCCACCCTAGGACTCCAAAAAGGAACACCGCCAGTAGGGAGATGTGCACCTCCCTGCCCCCTCTCCACACACCTGCCGTGGACCTCTCTGGCTGTCTCTAGACGTTTCTACATGGGGGTGGAGCGGGGCCCTCCTGCGTGGAAGAGCGTGTGGCTGCAAAAGTCGAACTCCACCACAAGAGCAAACTCACACTGCCTGCTCCCACCCAGGGCACAGAACCTGCCAGACATGGACCTGCGACACCACAGATGTGCCAGGGCATAAGTGCTTCCTGCAGGCTGGCTAAATCCTACCTTTTTCATAGGGGGAGGTTATCTTGGCAAGCACCAAAACACCACAGATTACACCACCGTCTTTGAGTCAGAGGCAGACACCCAGTCCCACCTCCCAAGCATTCCCTTCACATGTCTCCTAGTATGAGGGCTCGTCTCCGGGGTGGAGTGGGAACAGGTCAGTCTGTAGCTCGCCACCGCCGGGGCAGCTACGGAGAGGGCCTTCCATCTTAACTAGGGTTTGGAAGCCCCTTATGGTCAATCATGGGCTCACCTTCTCAGTCGTCTTTTTTGCTAGGCAACAATGACAAGGAACGCCCAGGAGAGGGGCTGAAATCAGGTGACGACAGTGCTTTCTTGATGCCAACCAAAGTCAGCAGTGGGTGGCTCGTCACCTGAGAGTCAGAGAAAGCATGTTTGCCAAGCCCAGGGGACAGAAAAGAATGGGCTTTTCCCAAATGGCCAGTCTTCTATCAGACAGACCGCACTGGCCTCACCAACAAGCCAGTCACAGATGCATGCTAATAAGCACCACGCGGTGAAGGACACTGTGTGGTAGGCAGGAGCACAGCTTCCAGCCCTTGGCTCCACCCTCAGCCGGCGGGGCTGGTGGGCTCACAGGTCCAGACAAACAGCTCCGCTCTGGGGCTAGTGTCAACAAAGGGAGAGTGTCGGAGGGAACGGGGCAATTTCCCTCAAAGCCATCCCAGCACCCTGAAAGAGCTCACCCTCAGCTTGCCAAGACGCTGTTAGGGATGGGTCACCTTTAAGACAAACATGGCCTAGGGACGGGGCACAAAGAAAAGGGGGCAGGGCCGAAGCGCCTAGAGAATTCCAGGCCCCGTGACCTCTCCCTGAGCCTACTTCCCCATTGGGCTGTGGAGTCAGAGAGCCGCTCGTGAGGCGGCCCGAGTCCTGGCTTCCTGGGATGGAACGCCACTCAGCCAGCTGTGGAAGGATTCAAGGGGTATGGATAGTCTGACGCGCCGTAAGTGCTGGACGGGTGTGAGCTGTCATTGCCGTGATCGCAATTATTTCCACCGTATCCCACAGCGGCATTCATGAGACACCCGCTTTTCTGTTATGGCTCACGCTCATTGAGCATTTTATACACTCCAGCCACGGTGCTATCCACTGCCACCTGCACTGTCTCATTTTGACCTTTATAGAATAGGTATCATTTGAGTGAGGGAGGGAGAAAGGAGAAAAGAAAAAAAAGACAAAAAGAAGGAAAGGAAAGAGAAAGGGGGGAGAAAAAAGAAGACGGGACCTCCAAATCTCCTCCCTCGTGGCACATTCCCAGCACAGAGCCCCCAAGAGCAAGGCCCGCGTCTTCATGCTGGCTCATGCTTCAGCGGCTCTCCGGCTGCACTGGGCCCCTGGAGGACCGGTGTTTCATCTGCCATGTGTGCTGCTGGGCCACGCCTCCTGCCCCTCCCTTCTCCCTGCACGGTCAGCTAGCGGTTCCCAGAGAACGCCAGTATCTTTGACTCTGTCCTACATAAAACGGAATCAGGAGGTTTTCTGGAGGAAAATGCACAGTGCTTTTTTTTTTTTTAAAGGAATATGGGGGTTTTGGGAATAGGCCATGCCAGTTTCCCTTGCTTAATGCAGAACTCCACCAGTCCCCTGCTCTGATGAGAAGGAGCAGGGTGGTGACGACCGGCCGTGATGGGAGGTGAAACCTGCTCTGTGAAGCCCCTCTGGCTCTGACCTCGACTTAGGCTTTCATCAGCCTAGGATGGAAGGGCTGGGCCAAGTATGACCACTCCAAGCTTTTATCAACTCTCTGTCTACATTCCAAAGTTCCATCTTGGCCTCACTCTGGTCCCCTCCACTTCCAGGCTGAGGAGGGGGCAGCGGGTGCAGGTGGACACCAGAGCCCTCATCCCCGGCTCACCGCCTGCAGACCGCATTCCCACCACAGGCCCAGGGGGTGAGTCAACCAGGGCTTGGCGAGAGCCTCCCAGGGGCCCCCTAAGGAACCCGAAGCACTTCACAATCCCCTACTGGATGTCTCTGTCAGCAGGATAGGAATGAGAGCAAGAAACTCAAGTCCTCCCTCTTCTCATACGCCACCCCTTGTCTCTTTGGACCTTTCTGCCTCTCGGCAAAAGGGAGTGAGGTCTCAACCAAGTAACGGCTAGACCAACCCACTGAGTGTCCGCTACGCACGGAGCCACGCTTGCAGCACCTGGGAGGGGTGGGCCCCAGAGTGGAGAGACCCCTCCTTTCAGCCATGCATGCACTCGCAGCCTGCAGCCTCCTAAACCAGCTCGAGGACAGGCAGGTGACCCTGCAAGCACGAGGGAAGGTGTCGCAGAAGTTAAAAGGAGCCCCGCCGGCCTCCTGGACCCAGCCGAGTGACACCGCACACCACACATCACTGCGTTTCAGGACCAGCCCTCAGAGACTCTGTGAATGTGTCTGCGGCAGGACTGGAGTCTGTGCAATGCTGTTTGCCCAGTCAGCCACAGGCTGCACCATAGGAGCCACGCTGGCTAGCCGTGGCCCAGCTCACCAAGGGGCCCTGTGGCCCCAGGGCACAGCCTCAGTGGCCCACCTGTTAGGTTGCCTGAGTGTTCCAAGTGTGGTGTCAACCTGGCCGCCGAGCCGGACGGTCAGCTCAAAGCCTTCACCCATCTCTTCCTCTTTCTGATGCCATAACTTTGCGACAAATGGCGCTTTTCACAAATCACTGGGGAGACCTCCAAAAAGTGCTTGCCCTTCCTCTGCTTCCTCTTCCCACTTCTCCATCTTACGTCTCTCCTCCTGCCAAATGGCAAAGCGCGAGGTGATCTGCGTGTGCCCTCCATCTCACAAACAGCGAAGCAAACAGGAAGGAGCCTTTGCCTGGGAGAGCGTCCCTCCCACCACATGCTACAGGCTGAATGTTCAGGGAAAGGGAGAAATATCACAAACTGCACTGTGGTGTGATTCTGGAGTAAGATCATGGATTACTTTAACCAACGCGGCAAATCCATGGATGCAAATACTGGGGATCTGACAGCATGGGGTTGGACTCTCCCTTCGATGTCAGGACCAGGGAGGGAACAGCAGCCGCAGCCGTGGCTCAGGGTCCACAGTGGAGCCAGAGGAGCCAATGCTTGATGAGTGAGTTCCACTGGCTGAGGTCTACCACTGGCGACGCCGCTTCAGAGCTGGCATCCCCTGCCCGTGGGGGAACCGTGCAGGCCGCTGGGAAGTCGGTGACAGACGAGCCGGCTCCCGCGCACGCTCCAGCCCCTCCCTCTTCAGGGGGCCAAGGCAAGACGTGCACACAGCTGCGGGTCGCACGGGGAGCCCAGCTCATGCCACTCGGAGACAGGGCGCAGAGCCCGCCTGAGACGGCACATCCGCCTGTGGCCACCGGTCTCCTCGGCTCGCCCCCCTGCCCTCCTGCGCAAGGGCAGCCACACCCGAACACGGGGACTGCTGGGCGCCAGCGTCAGACCACCTCTCTCCCCGAGCTGCGGGTCCGGCC